GTCTGGAAACCGCCACAGCTGCCCTCGATTCAGTCCTCTGAGGCCTGCTCCAGGGTCGCTGCAGCCTGCACGCCCAAGCCAAACTGAGCTCCTCTCCCTGCCCGGCGCGATATACCTTTCTGGTCAACCATCCAGGCTGTGGTGGGCTGGAAATTTGTTTCACTCTGTCTTTTTGTGGGTTCTGCTGCTTTAGAATTTGTTTAGAGCCATTTTTTTAGGTATTTGGAGGGCTTTGGGAGAAAGCTCAAGACAGTCACTGCTTTCCCAATAAAAATTCTAATCCAAGAAATATAAAGCATTTGGGGCCCAGAAGAGAGGCAAAGAAAAGTCTGTATATGAGGTTTTGGAGACTTTTCTGACTAATACAACTTCTGATATACTTGTAGGCTGACAACAACTAAAATAACACAAAATCTAGAAATTACAGAATTCCACTTCTCTGATGAAATCCAGCCTTCACCAACACACATACACACCAACACACACACACACACACACACACACACACACACACTCACAAACTCAATATCTTCCTTTCTCTCCTACTCCCTTTCTTTCCCCTTCTCTCCTATTCAAGAAAGACAAAAGTAGTACAATCTAGTCTCAACTTCACTTCTTGAGCTCAAATCTGGCCTCAGACACTTACTAGCTTTGTGACCCTGGGCAAGTCACTTCCCCAATTTGCCTCAGTTTCCTCATCTGTAAAATGAGCTGAAGAAGGCAACTGTCTTTTTCAACCCCATAGCTTGCAAAGGCAAAAACAGAAATCTTTTTTTGTTTGTTTTGTGTGGATGTTTTTGGGAGGTAATCAGGGTGAAGTGATTTGCCATACCAGAAATCTTTTTGAAAAGAATGTTTCCCCAATTTTATATTCATCTGGAACAGACGTGACTGGAGTCAAGATAGATTATGAGTGATAAGCTACAAAGGCTGTTAGAATTCATGGGAAACTTGAGCAAATTATTGAAATTCCCTGTCCTTCAGTTTTCTCATCTCTAAAAGGAGAGAGTTGACAATATTACTCTGAGGTCCCTTTCAGCTCCAAATTTATGATCACATGTTATCCTATTTGTAGAAATTTATTAGTCCTCTATACAGTGTGTATGTACATAAATAGGTATATGAGCAAATGTACACATATTTTATATATGTACAGACATATACGTGCACACCTATATACAGATACATACATGTATAGGTATGTGTATATGTATGCATAGTTTATATACATGGATATACACAAATATATTCACAGACACATACATATATAGTTAACTTGATAGCTTTCAAGGTCCCTTTTAATTCTACATCAATGAACCCATGCTGATACTATATATAAATATATGTATATTTATAATTACACAAAAACAAGTATATCTGTTTATATATACAAATACACATATGTATATTTATATATATATACATGCATGCATGTATCAGAACTGGATCTGTGATTTTATTAGTGTAAGGAACTCCAGGATGAGAAAACTCCCTTTACCAATGAAGGTTTCTA